AAATTAAAATAAGCTCACGAAAGTCAAAATATGACCTTGAGTATATCCCACCTGAATTTAGAGACCTTCTCAAGAACAGATTTAGACACTCATGATCAAACACCAGAAGAGCTGTGGGATGACATCAAGAGCATCATACAGGAAGAATGCAAAAGGTCATTAAAAAGACAGGAAAGAAAGTAAAGACCAAAATGGGTATCAGAAGACACTCTGAAACTTGCTTTTGAACATAGAGACATTAAAGTGACTGGAAGGAATGATGAAGTAAAAAAACTGAATAGAAAAGTTCAAAGGGCAGTTCTTGTAGACCAAGTCCAGTATTATAATGAAATGTGCAAAGGCCTGGAGTTAGAAAACCAAAAGGGAAGAAAATGCTAAGAATTTCTCAAGTTAAAAGAACTGAAGAGAAAATAGAAGCCTTGACTGCAATACTGAAGGATTGGACAAAATACTGAAGGATGCAGGAAGCATCAAAAGACAAAAAGAATACAGTCACCATACTAAAAAAAGAATTGGTCAATGTTCAACCATTTCAACAGGTAAAATATGATCAAGAATTGATGTTATTGAAGAAAGAAGTCCAAGCTGAACTGAAGACATTATAGAATTGAAGAAATACAAATTGAAATGTTTCAACAAATTGATTAATGCTCACTCATCTATGCCAAGAAATTTGGAAGACAGTTACCTGGCCAGCTAATTGGAGGAGATTCATATTTGTGCCCATTCCAAAGAAAGATGACCCAACACAATGTGGAAATGATCAAACTATATATTTAATATCACATGCAAGTAAAATTTTGCTGAAGATGATGAAAAAAAACAAAAACGGTTGTAATAGTACATCAACAGGGAGCTGCCAGAAATTCAAGCAAGATTTAGAAGAGGGCGAAGACTTAGGGATATTGCTGACATCAAATGGATCAGAAAATACCAACAAGATGTTTACTTGTGTTTTATTAACTACATAAAGACATTAGCCTATATGCATCGTAATAAAGTACAGATAACATTGCGAAGAGTAGTTATTCCAGAACACTTCATTGTACGCGTGCCAAAACCTGTATGAAGTCAAGAGGCAGTCATTGGAATAGAAAAAAAAAAAAGATTCTCCTCTGGTCTTCCTTATTAATTGTCCAGCTTTCACAGGCATATGAGGCGAATGAAAATATTATGGTGTACCTTAGTCCTCCAAGTGACATTATTGCTTTTACCATCTTGAGTAGGTATTTTGCAGCAGATTTGTCCAATGCAATATGTCATTTAACTTCTTGACTACTGCTTCAATGAATGCTAATCGTGGATCCAAGTAAAATAAAATCTTTGAGAACTTCAACCTTTTCTCTGTTTATTTTGTTGTTTATTGATCCAGTTGTGAGAATTTTTGTTTTCTTTACAATGAGTTTTACTCTATATTGAAAGGTCATGTTCATCAACAAATGTCTCAACCCTCCTTGTTTTCAGCAAACATGGTTGTATCATCTGCATATCACAGGTTGCTAATGAGCCTTTCTCTAATCCCGACACTCTGTGGTTCTTTAGATTGTCCAGTTTCTCAGATCATTTGCTCAGCATACAGACTGAGTAAACA